GTCATAACAAAGCTTCACCACAGTGTCATAACTAAGCTTCACCACAGTGTCATAACTAAGCTTCACCACAGTGTCATAACTAAGCTTCACCACAGTGTCATAACTAACCTTCACCACAGTGTGTCATAACTAAGCTTCACCACAGTGTGTGTCATAACTAAGCTTCACCACAGTGTGTGTCATAACTAAGCTTCACCACAGTGTCATAACAAAGCTTCACCACAGTGTCATAACTAAGCTTCAAAACAGTGTGTGTCATAACTAAGCTTCACCACAGTGTGTGTCATAACTAAGCTTCACCACAGTGTCATAACTAAGCTTCACCACAGTGTGTGTCATAACTAAGCTTCACCACAGTGTCATAACTAAGCTTCACCACAGTGTGTGTCATAACTAAGCTTCACCACAGTGTGTGTCATAACTAAGCTTCACCACAGTGTGTGTCATACTGAGGCTTAACCGTATTGTTAATGTGTCATAACTAAGCTTCACCACAGTGTGTCATAACTAAGCTTCACCACAGTGTGTGTCATAACTAAGCTTCACCACAGTGTGTGTCATAACTAAGATTCACCACAGTGTGTCATAACTAAGCTTCACCACAGTGTGTGTCATAACTAAGCTTCACCACAGTGTGTGTCATAACTAAGCTTCACCACAGTGTCATAACAAAGCTTCACCACAGTGTCAAAACTAAGCTTCACCACAGTGTCATAACTAAGCTTCACCACACTGTCATAACTAAGCTTCACCACAGTGTCATAACTAACCTTCACCACAGTGTGTCATAACTAAGCTTCACCACAGTGTGTGTCATAACTAAGCTTCACCAGTGTCATAACAAAACTTCACCACAGTGTCATAACTAAGCTTCACCACAGTGTCATAATTAAGCTTCACCACAGTGTGTCATAGCTAAGCTTCACCACAGTGTGTCATAGCTAAGCTTCACCACAGTGTGTCATAGCTAAGCTTCACCACAGTGTGTCATAACTAAGCTTCACCACAGTGTGTCATAACTAAGCTTCACCACAGTGTGTGTCATAACTAAGCTTCACCACAGTGTGTGTCATAACTAAGCTTCACCACAGTGTGTCATAATTAGGCTTCACCACAGTGTGTGTCATAACTAAGCTTCACAGTGTGTCATAACTAAGCTTCACCACACAGTGTGTGTCATAACTAAGCTTCAGCACAGTGCGTGTCATAGCTAAGCTTCACCACAGTGTGTGTCATAACTAAGCTTCACTACAGTGTGTCATAACTAAGCTTCACCACAGTGTGTGTCATAACTAAGCTTCACCACAGTGTGTGTCATAACTAAGCTTCACCACAGTGTGTGTCATAACTAAGCTTCACCACAGTGTGTCATAACTAAGCTTCACCACAGTGTGTCATAACTGAGCATCACCACAGTGTGTGTCGTAACTAAGCTTCACCACACAGTGTGTCATAACTAAGCTTCACCACAGTGTGTCATAACTAACCTTCACCACACAGTGTCATAACTAAGCTTCACCACAGTGTGTGTCATAACTAAGCTTCACCACAGTATGTGTCATAATTAAGCTTCACCACACAGTGTGTCATAACTAAGCTTCACCAGTGTGTGTCATAAATAAGCTTCACCACAGTGTGTGTCATAACTAAGCTTCACCACACAGTGTGTCATAACTAACCTTCACCACAGTGTGTCATAACTAACCTTCACCACAGTGTGTCATAACTAAGCTTCACCACAGTGTGTGACATAACTAAGCTTCACCACAGTGTGTCATAACTAAGCTTCACCACAGTGTCATAACAAAGCTTCACCACAGTGTCATAACTAAGATTCACCACAGTGTGTCATAACTAAGCTTCACCACAGTGTGTCATAACTAAGCTTCACCACAGTGTGTCATAACTAAGCTTCACCACAGTGTGTGTCATAACTAAGCTTCACCACAGTGTGTCATAGCTAAGCTTCACCACAGTGTGTCATAGCTAAGCTTCACCACAGTGTGTCATAGCTAAGCTTCACCACAGTGTGTCATAACTAAGCTTCACCACAGTGTGTCATAACTAAGCTTCACCACAGTGTGTGTCATAACTAAGCTTCACCACAGTGTGTGTCATAACTAAGCTTCACCGCAGTGTGTCATAACTAAGCTTCACCACAGTATGTGTCATAACTAAGCTTCACCACAGTATGTGTCATAATTAAGCTTCACCACACAGTGTGTCATAACTAAGCTTCACCAGTGTGTGTCATAAATAAGCTTCACCACAGTGTGTGTCATAACTAAGCTTCACCACACAGTGTGTCATAACTAACCTTCACCACAGTGTGTCATAACTAACCTTCACCACAGTGTGTCATAACTAAGCTTCACCACAGTGTGTGACATAACTAAGCTTCACCACAGTGTCATAACAAAGCTTCACCACAGTGTCATAACTAAGATTCACCACAGTGTGTCATAACTAAGCTTCACCACAGTGTGTCATAACTAAGCTTCACCACAGTGTGTTATAACTAAGCTTCACCACAGTGTGTGTCATAACTAAGCTTCACCACAGTGTGTGTCATACTGAGGCTTAACCGTATTGTTAATGTGTCATAACTAAGCTTCACCACAGTGTGTGTCATAACTAAGCTTCACCACAGTGTCATAACTAAGCTTCACCACAGTGTGTGTCATAACTAAGCTTCACCAGTGTGTGTCATAACTAAGCTTCACCACAGTGTGTGTCATACTGAGGCTTAACCGTATTGTTAATGTGTCATAACTAAGCTTCACCACAGTGTGTGTCATAACTAAGCTTCACCACAGTGTGTGTCATAAATAAGCTTCACCACAGTGTGTGTCATAACTAAGCTTCACCACAGTGTGTGTCATAACTAAGCTTCACCAAAGTGTGTCATAACTAAGCTTCACCACAGTGTGTGTCATAACTAAGCTTCACCACAGTGTCATAACTAAGCTTCACCACAGTGTCATAACTAAGCTTCACCACAGTGTCATAACTAAGCTTCACCACAGTGTCATAACTAAGCTTCACCACAGTGTCATAACTAACCTTCACTACAGTGTGTCATAACTAAGCTTCACCACAGTGTGTGTCATAACTAAGCTTCACCAGTGTCATAACAAAGCTTCACCACAGTGTCATAACTAAGCTTCACCACAGTGTCATAATTAAGCTTCACCACAGTGTGTCATAGCTAAGCTTCACCACAGTGTGTCATAGCTAAGCTTCACCACAGTGAGTCATAGCTAAGCTTCACCACAGTGTGTCATAACTAAGCTTCACCAGTGTGTCATAACTAAGCTTCACCACAGTGTGTCTCATAACTAAGCTTCACCACAGTGTGTCATAACTAGGCTTCACCACAGTGTGTGTCATAACTAAGCTTCACAGTGTGTGTCATAACTAAGCTTCACCACACAGTGTGTGTCATAACTAAGCTTCACCACAGTGTGTGTCATAACTAAGCTTCACCACAGTGTGTGTCATAACTAAGCTTCACTACAGTGTGTCATAACTAAGCTTCACCACAGTGTGTGTCATAACTAAGCTTCACCACAGTGTGTGTCATAACTAAGCTTCACCACAGTGTGTGTCATAACTAAGCTTCACCACAGTGTGTGTCATAACTAAGCTTCACCACAGTGTGTGTCATAACTAAGCTTCACCACAGTGTGTGTCATAACTAAGCTTCACCACAGTGTGTCATAACTAAGCTTCACCACAGTGTGTGTTTTAACTAAGCTTCACCACACAGTGTGTCATAACTAAGCTTCACCACAGTGTGTCATAACTAACCTTCACCACACAGTGTGTCATAACTAACCTTCACCACACAGTGTGTCATAACTAACCTTCACCACATAGTGTGTCATAACTAAGCTTCACCAGTGTGTGTCATAACTAAGCTTCACCAGTGTGTGTCATAACTAACCTTCACCACACAGTGTGTCATAACTAAGCTTCACCACACAGTGTGTCATAACTAACCTTCACCACAGTGTGTCATAACTAACCTTCACCACAGTGTGTCATAACTAAGCTTCACCACAGTGTGTGACATAACTAAGCTTCACCACAGTGTGTCATAACTAAGCTTCACCACAGTGTCATAACAAAGCTTCACCACAGTGTCATAACTAAGCTTCACCACAGTGTGTCATAACTAAGCTTCACCACAGTGTGTCATAACTAAGCTTCATCACAGTGTGTGTCATAACTAAGCTTCACCACAGTGTGTGTCATAACTAAGCTTCACCACAGTGTCATAACTAAGCTTCACCACAGTGTGTCATAACTAAGCTTCACCACAGTGTGTCATAACTAAGCTTCACCACAGTGTGTCATAACTAAGCACCAGTGTCATAACTAAGCTTCACCACAGTGTGTGTCATAACTAAGCTTCACCACAGTGTGTGTCATAACTAAGCTTCACCACAGTGTGTCATAACTAAGCTTCACCACAGTGTGTCATAACTAAGCATCACCACAGTGTGTCATAACTAAGCTTCACCACAGTGTGTCATAACTAAGCTTCACCACAGTGTGTCATAACTAAGCTTCACCACAGTGTGTGACATAACTAAGCTTCACCACAGTGTCATAACTAAGCTTCACCACAGTGTCATAACTAAGCTTCACCACAGTGTCATAACTAAGCATCACCACAGTGTGTCATAACTAAGCATCACCACAGTGTGTGTCATAACTAAGCTTCACCACAGTGTGTCATAACTAAGCATCACCACAGTGTGTCATAACTAAGGTTCACCACAGTGTGTCATAACTAAGCTTCACCACAGTGAGTGTCATAAATAAGCTTCACCACAGTGTGTGACATAACTAAGCTTCACCACAGTGTCATAACTAAGCTTCACCACAGTGTCATAACTAAGCATCACCACAGTGTGTCATAACTAAGCTTCACCACAGTGTGTCATAACTAAGCTTCACCACAGTGTGTCATAACTAAGGGAACTTTGTTACAGGTGTCTGGCAACGACACGCTGACGAGCATCGCCGCCAGGTTCGACACGACACCGTCGGAGCTGGCCAAGCTCAACAAGCTGTCGACCAGGTTCGTGTACCCCGGCCAGGTCATCGTCGTGCCCGACAAAACTGGAGCTCTTCTGGACGACGACAAGGGCCACCCTCCTCACCCCGACACCACGCACAGCAATGGACAAGGTACTCACCTACTTTACTCACCTGGTTTACTCACCTACTTTACTCACCTGCATGAATATGAAGGTGATGACGGATCATGGTAATTGCGTCATGCCTCTTGACACTTAATTAATTAGTGTAAAGACTCCAGAGTCAGTCACAGGCAGCTTATACGTGAGTATGGTGGGTACAGGGTGAGTCAGACAGGGGTATAGTAGGGTACAGGGTGAGTCAGTCAGGGGTAGAGTAGTGTACAGGGTGAGTCAGGCAGGGGTAGAGTAGGATACATGGTGAGTCAGGCAGGGGTATAGTAGGATACATGGTGAGTCAGGCAGGGGTATAGTAGGGTACATGGTGAGTCAGGCAGGGGTAGAGTAGGGTACATGGTGAGTCAGTCAGGGGTAGAGTAGTGTACAGGGTGAGTCAGGCAGGGGTATAGTAGGGTACATGGTGAATCAGGCAGGGGTATAGTAGGGTACATGGTGAGTCAGTCAGGGGTAGAGTAGTGTACATGGTGAGTAAGGCAGGGGTATAGTAGGGTACATGGTGAGTCAGGCAGGGGTAGAGTAGTGTACATGGTGAGTCAGTCAGGGGTAGAGTAGTGTACATGGTGAGTCAGGCAGGGGTATAGTAGGGTACATGGTGAGTCAGACAGGGGTATAGTAGGGTACGGGGTGAGTCAGTCAGGGGTAGTGTACATGGTGAGTCAGGCAGGGGTATAGTAGGGTACATGGTGAGTCAGGCAGGGGTAGAGTAGTGTACATGGTGAGTCAGGCAGGGGTAGAGTAGGGTACATGGTGAGTCAGGCAGGGGTAGAGTAGGGTACATGGTGAGTCAGGCAGGGGTAGAGTAGGGTACATGGTGAGTCAGGCAGGGGTAGAGTAGGGTACATGGTGAGTCAGGCAGGGGTAGAGTAGTGTACATGGTGAGTCAGGCAGGGGTAGAGTAGGATACATGGTGAGTCAGGCAGGGGTAGAGTAGGGTACATGGTGAGTCAGGCAGGGGTAGAGTAGGGTACATGGTGAGTCAGGCAGGGGTAGAGTAGGGTACATGGTGAGTCAGGCAGGGGTAGAGTAGGGTACATGGTGAGTCAGGCAGGGGTAGAGTAGGGTACATGGTGAGTCAGGCAGGGGTAGAGTAGGGTACATGGTGAGTCAGGCAGGGGTAGAGTAGGGTACATGGTGAGTCAGGCAGGGGTAGAGTAGGATACATGGTGAGTCAGGCAGGGGTAGAGTAGGGTACATGGTGAGTCAGGCAGGGGTAGAGTAGGATACATGGTGAGTCAGGCAGGGGTAGAGTAGGATACATGGTGAGTCAGGCAGGGGTAGAGTAGGGTACATGGTGAGTCAGGCAGGGGTAGAGTAGGATACATGGTGAGTCAGGCAGGGGTAGAGTAGGGTACATGGTGAGTCAGGCAGGGGTAGAGTAGGATACATGGTGAGTCAGGCAGGGGTAGAGTAGGATACATGGTGAGTCAGGCAGGGGTAGAGTAGGATACATGGTGAGTCAGGCAGGGGTAGAGTAGGGTACAGGGTGAGTCAGGCAGGGGTAGAGTAGGGTACAGGGTGAGTCAGGCAGGGGTAGAGTAGGGTACAGGGTGAGTCAGGCAGGGGTAGAGTAGGGTACAGGGTGAGTCAGGCAGGGGTAGAGTAGGGTACAGGGTGAGTCAGGCAGGGGTAGAGTAGGGTACATGGTGAGTCAGGCAGGGGTAGAGTAGTGTACAGGGTGAGTCAGGCAGGGGTAGAGTAGGGTACAGGGTGAGTCAGGCAGGGGTAGAGTAGGGTACAGGGTGAGTCAGGCAGGGGTAGAGTAGGGTACAGGGTGAGTCAGGCAGGGGTAGAGTAGGGTACAGGGTGAGTCAGGCAGGGGTAGAGTAGGGTACAGGGTGAGTCAGGCAGGGGTAGAGTAGGGTACATGGTGAGTCAGGCAGGGGTAGAGTAGGGTACATGGTGAGTCAGGCAGGGGTAGAGTAGTGTACAGGGTGAGTCAGGCAGGGGTAGAGTAGGGTACATGGTGAGTCAGACAGGGGTAGAGTAGGGTACAGGGTGAGTCAGGCAGGGGTAGAGTAGGGTACATGGTGAGTCAGGCAGGGGTAGAGTAGGGTACATGGTGAGTCAGACAGGGGTAGAGTAGGGTACATGGTGAGTCAGACAGGGGTAGAGTAGGGTACAGGGTGAGTCAGGCAGGGGTAGAGTAGGGTACAGGGTGAGTCAGGCAGGGGTAGAGTAGGGTACAGGGTGAGTCATCAGGGATACAAGCCACAATACAAAACTAAAACATACACAATACAATCACGAGACTAACATATATCTATAAAAAAAAATAATGAGGTTATGCAATGGGCTCGAACATGCGTACCTGGACTCCACAGACACACACAATAATCACTGAATCGTGATGAGCTCAAACATGACTCAACTACAAGTGCTACCAGAGGTACCTGGAACCTAGTACCTGATGGTATCTTCCAAACTGCAGGTAACTCTGGTATTACTTGTAGTTGTCGTACTCACATGCACATCATGGTTCACCCGGTAATGGTGTGAGTGTCTCAGGAGTCAGGGGATGTGAGTTCGATTTCATCTCATAACCTCAAGTTTCTCATTAAATACACATTTTTCTCATGTAAGGTAGGAGGTAGTAAGCTTCTCATGTAAGGTAGGAGGTAATAAGCTTCTCATGTAAGGTAGGAGGTAATAAGCTTCTCATGCATGGTAGGAGGTAATAAGCTTCTCATGTAAGGTAGGAGGTAATAAGCTTCTCATGTATGGTAGGAGGTAATAAGCTTCTCATGTATGGTAGGAGGTAACAAGCTTGTCATGCATGGTAGGAGGTAATAAGCTTCTCATGTATGGTAGGAGGTAATAAGCTTGTCATGCATGGTAGGAGGTAATAAGCTTCTCATGTATGGTAGGAGGTAATAAGCTTGTCATGCATGGTAGGAGGTAATAAGCTTCTCATGTATGGTAGGAGGTAATAAGCTTCTCATGTAAGGTAGGAGGTAATAAGCTTCTCATGTATGGTAGGAGGTAATAAGCTTCTCATGTATGGTAGGAGGTAACAAGCTTGTCATGCATGGTAGGAGGTAATAAGCTTCTCATGTATGGTAGGAGGTAATAAGCTTGTCATGCATGGTAGGAGGTAATAAGCTTCTCATGTATGGTAGGAGGTAATAAGCTTCTCATGCATGGTAGGAGGTAACAAGCTTCTCATGTATGGTAGGAGGTAACAAGCTTGTCATGCATGGTAGGAGGTAATAAGCTTCTCATGTATGGTAGGAGGTAATAAGCTTGTCATGCATGGTAGGAGGTAATAAGCTTGTCATGCATGGTAGGAGGTAATAAGCTTCTCATGTATGGTAGGAGGTAATAAGCTTCTCATGCATGGTAGGAGGTAATAAGCTTCTCATGTATGGTAGGAGGTAATAAGCTTCTCATGTATGGTAGGAGGTAACAAGCTTCTCATGTATGGTAGGAGGTAACAAGCTTGTCATGCATGGTAGGAGGTAATAAGCTTGTCATGTATGGTAGGAGGTAACAAGCTTGTCATGCATGGTAGGAGGTAATAAGCTTGTCATGTAAGGTAGGAGGTAATAAGCTTGTCATGTATGGTAGGAGGTAACAAGCTTGTCATGCATGGTAGGAGGTAATAAGCTTGTCATGTAAGGTAGGAGGTAATAAGCTTCTCATGTATGGTAGGAGGTAATAAGCTTGTCATGTATGGTAGGAGGTAACAAGCTTGTCATGCATGGTAGGAGGTAATAAGCTTGTCATGTATGGTAGGAGGTAACAAGCTTGTCATGCATGGTAGGAGGTAATAAGCTTGTCATGTAAGGTAGGAGGTAATAAGCTTCTCATGTATGGTAGGAGGTAATAAGCTTGTCATGTATGGTAGGAGGTAACAAGCTTGTCATGCATGGTAGGAGGTAATAAGCTTGTCATGTAAGGTAGGAGGTAATAAGCTTGTCATGTAAGGTAGGAGGTAATAAGCTTCTCATGTATGGTAGGAGGTAATAAGCTTGTAACGGTTCTATTGTTACGTAAAGTATGGTGACAATAAACACAAACACTAAGAGATTATATATATATTTGGTCGAGTATACAGACGTGCGCAGGTGATACTTTGGCGAGCAACGGTGTGAGTTGAGCGCACTGAGCGTCGGTACAGTATCTCGCAAGTGTCTGTTCTAGACCACACTTGAAAGTAGACTAGTTATTATTCGCTACTCTGCTGCTGATATGCGCGGGCAATACCTCACCGTTCTCCAAAGGTTGACAGGAATATTAACTGGAAGTAGGGAAAGGTTTGAGTTCCATAATTAGAACTAAGAAAAGCTTTGCTCCTCTCATTAGGCCAATGCATTTGGAACGAGTATATTATTGGGATAATCTACTCGCTACAGAACTTCCCCACCCAGGGGATGAAAGGAAAAACTCTAACTGGGGTCGTAGAGTGCGAGTTCACACAGGGTCGTCCGTCGTCGTAGGATCAGGTTGTGGTGCAGCTAGTAACTGGAGTTGTAGGGTGGGAGGTCGTACAGGATCGTCCGTTGTCGTAGGTGGCGGTGCTGCTGGTAACTGTGGTCGAAAAGTGAACGGCGTAGTCGGCGGATGTGTCTCTGGAGGGATGTCTGGGGCAGCGTCACAGTGAGCTGGTTTAAGGCGATCGATGGAGATGTTTACCTGCTGTCCTCGGCGTTCAATGGTGAAGAACTTTGGTGTCCGAGAAACCACTTTAAATGGTCCTTCGTAAGGTGACTGTAGAAGGTGTCGAACAGCGTTGATTCTTACAAACACGTGTTCAGTTGTGTGGAGCTCATGAGGCACATATGTAGCACGAGCTGTCGGTTTTTAGTGGTGGTGTAGGCCGAACGCTTGTCATGGCGGCCCGTAATTTCTGGACAAAAGTGGGGTCTGGGGGTATGATGAGTGACGTCGAGGTTAAGAATTCGACTGGAAGCCGCAGGCTAGATCCGTATACTAAGTCTGCTACCAAGAATCCACTTCCCTCCTTCGTGGCCG